GACGAGATTACTTGGTATTGAAATCGTCAAATACATTTAAAAATAATTAACAAATACAGAGAATGTTAAATACTAAGACGCTCGGTACAAACTGATTCGCTAAAGACTGTGTATTGATCGCTAATAAAATCGCTCGAAACTGAGACTGAAGAATTGGTCGCCTTACGATCGTGTTGCACGTAACGGCGACATTGTTCTGCCCGGAATTTATTTATCATTACATTATGTAATAATAAATTGTCCTAACGATGTTGATACTCCGAGGCAAAACAACAACATGATTCAAATTGTCCTGTAGCTCATGTGCCGTTACAAATCTGATATGTTGATTCAAATCAGATCTGATTGTTGTGTACCTACATAACATCTTGAAATACAAAGGAACGATTCCAAAACACAAATTATTGATCACTCTATCTTCTTTCGTCTTCTTACGCAGCAACGTTGTTTAATCTTTGTGTGCGATAATTAGCACATAAAATAACATCTCTCAAGTACGATTTACAATAGAACATATCATCATTTGTCACAATAATATACTTTGATGTAAACGTTTTAGTATTTCCTCGATAACCGATCTGGTAATAAAACACTTAGTAAGAAGTACTATAAGGAACGTTAACGGTAAATTGTGATCATCGGTCGTGACAAGAGAGACAATAAAATTAAAAAAAAAAAAGAAATTCAAGGCCGCGGCCTGTTTTATTGTAAAAGCCAGTCTACCCTCGTCGAAACTTCTGAGTCCAGAGTTTGCAGATGCAGAATTAAGGAGGGGTCTTTACTACGGCGTTCTTGTAACTCAGGGGGTCCTTCATGGCTACGCCATAATATACCAGCCCAGGGACAAAGCTGTAGTTTAGCGTAACGCATTATACACTTATTTACTGATGGTTGGTACCCGAAACAAAATCGTAGAATACCTAGTTTTAAAGTGCTTACCCTTTTCCTGCTCGTTAAAAATTCTCCAACTAAACTAATCACCTTCATCTTTTAGTTAACATTTAACGTCAAAAAAACGACTGGTTAACTTTCACAAGATTATTTACTAAAGCAGATGACGTAAAAGAATTACAATTTCAAGATAAATTTTTTAAAGTATCTGCAATTTCATCATTCTTTCTACCTTTCAATGTGTAGCTATATTATATTAAATTGAGCAATTAATCCACGTAAAATCCATTTAACCAAGGAGTAATTTATTTATCCCCTTTTTCTATTAAATTGAAATATCTTTACAGTTTTTAAGCAATTCTTGTAACGTTCTTGCAAATATCCACCGTACATTAATGAGAAGCGAACGAACTTATTGCTTCACTTAATAGTTTCTAAACAATTCATTTACAAATTATTTCATTCAAATGTGGAATGTTGTATGTGAGATGCAAACATAATAGAAGACTTTGAAATTGACAGTTCGTATGCCACAAAATCATAGAGAAACAATTTTAGCACAGGAAGCTATAAATTAAAATTATATTTTATTCTTCAAAAGACTCGATCAAAATCTGATTAATTTCCGTTCAATGCAGAATTCTACAGTATAGTTGTACGTGACTCAACTGCAAACAGAAAAAAAGAAAAATACACTCAACTTTCGTCTAGAGTCTAGCAAAATTTCAAAGCAATCTCCACTATCACAATCAAGCACTATAAAACAATAATTGCCTCATGAAATTTACAAACCTTCAAGGTTTCATACATTGCCCCTTGAATATTTTATCGCCGATCTGCAAAAATTTGAAAGCGAGTCGATGACCGACAGACTGAGAAACAAGGCAGGCCACCCCGTTTATTTGCAAAGAAACGTCAGCTTTTATTCGCTTCATGATCTCATCGGGGTTGGATCTTGATTTTTCGATCTGGAATCGTGCGTAAGAGGTTTCAGATTGGCTAGCTGTTCGTGCATCTGCTTTGCACGCACGTGTATAATACGGTGGAGCAATGTTAATACGGAAGTTCGTGGAGTTGGGGCACAGCTGGTTTCGAGAACCGATTTATTATCGCGAAACTATCGCGTCGCACACGCACACACATATTGTGACGCAATGACGCAATTGAAAATTGTTTGAACCGTAGCTTGCTTATCGCGGTCACGTCTGGAAATTATGATATATGAACTCGATAATTGATTCGGAAAGCAATAATGACGAACGATAATAAATCCAAACGACGACGAATATCTAAGCCATTAATAAATAAAAATTTTATTGATGCGAAGAGATAATGTGGATTGTAAGTCATGTGTCCTGACAGGGTAGTTCGTTTGGAAGATAAACGTGAATGAAATTTCAAGATAAATGTTCGAACATTGATTCAACAATGTAGGATCTCGGCAAACACAGCCACGTTCTGTGAAATTCAGCCGAATATCGAATAATGAAAAGCATATTGAGCATGCAAATTTAATTCTTCGACAAATATCGCGTTGGTTCGTGTGTCTGAAATTTGTGTGCTCGCCATTGCCGATGATCAGTGTCCGGGAAAATTTTGATGCGGGTTCGGTGGAAACGTTCGACCGTGAGAGAATTTCATTTCGAATAAACTGAATTATTTCGTGGGCAAAATGCTTGTTTCACGCGTGAAATAAAACACAGATGCTTGATAATAGATACCTATTAGAATCTCTAGATATAATAATCGATAATAGACAAATATATTTTTTTATACTTCATAGACTTATATTCTTTAGATTTCAGAGAGTCCTGAGAAAATTTGTCTCAGCTCTACTATTAATTTTCGTCAACTAGCCTTGTGTATATCTTTTACTATTTTACATTTCAGAATGATCCGAGGAAAATAAATATTTATATTTTGTTATATTTCGTCCAATCGAATATTTGAAACTTTCCTTGACAAAAATAAAAGTAGGGAGGAAAGTAACTCAAGAATTAAATTTCTCTTAGATCACCAAACTCAGTTTGCTTACAAAGAATTATTAATAAATTAAAATATATAACATGTGAAGTGCTTTTTAAGCTGGGACATAAATTGTGTATCTGATGAATATACCTCCGTATCTATTCTAAAATCGTTATGAGTTACCTGACGAGAATAACACGAAATAAATCAGCAGTCGAAAGGACGTTCAAGTAGTGTAAAGTCGGTAGACTGGCAATGGCCAGTCCCGAACTTTTAAAGTAAAAGTTTGCTTACGGTACAATAATGACGGTGGGTCATAAAGGTTTATCTGTTTATTGCGGTGCCATTGCCTCTTGAAACGAGCCGTAACTGATTTTGCCAGCGAAACAAATATCTGGCGTTTATTGTCTCGCATCTACATGCATTTCGTCGTGAACATCCTACGATTGTCGTAGGACTTTTCTTTTTTTTTTTACAGCTTTACTCGTGTTAGGTTGAGATTCTTCTCAGTCGACCCTGAGTAAAAATAGTCCATCCTGCAATATAATAAATATAACAGTAATATGGATTATTGTAGCATACTCGAAGTTTTTCCAATGAACAGAGTGTCGTCGATTTCATTTTTAAACAGATATATGAAGCTTTTAAATATTAACATTTGTTTAAAAGAATGAAGCATTTTCAACCTGTATATTTAATTTGATTCGCAATGACTACAAAGTATTGACACATACTCTCATTTTTTAACAAAACGCTTTTTTATCAAGTTTTACGTTTCATTTTCATAGTACAAAATTTTTGTACCGTCAAATATATTTTAAAATAATAGATACAGAGAATGTTTGCTAAGAGGAGGGTCGAAGGAAGTCTGGAAAATTTAAATTCGTCTTAGTTTGACGGTTGCACGTAGTGGCGATATTGTTCTTGTCCGGAGTTTACTTATTATTCCAGTATGTATGCCCTAACGGTGTTGATACTCCGAGGCAGGACAGCAACATTATTTGAATTGTCCTCTAGCTCGTGCGCTAGAAATGTTTCAATTTTGGAAGAAACAAGACATTCTCTAATCGTCAACCCTTCTTCCATTTTTGTATTTAGTAATTATGATAGTTAATAGGCTGTGGATATCTATGGAAATTCATATTTCTAGGAATACGTATTTAGTAAAAACTAAGAAGTGGGATTTAAATGGAGAATTGTTTTATTATTTAAATGTTAATATACTTTCAATATTTTATATAACTTTTGCGCTTTCAAGTTTCCCACAAGTACAGTCATCCTGCATTCGCAGTCTAATAACTGCTAATACTGAAACGAAGATATTCTCTATTCTAAATTACGTTAACAACTCTACAAAAGTACCGTATTTCATAGAATACTTCAATAAAATATCCGAAAAATTCCCCAAAATTCTTGTTTCAATTTCTTCGGTAATAAAACAAATATACTGCCTGTCAAACAGACTGAAATATTAGTTGTCCCAAATTTCTAAATCAGAAGGGAAAAAAAGATAAGCGAGGCTCTAAAATATGAAGAAAAGAAAAGTAAGGTTGCCACGAAGCATTTGCAAAAGACCAGTCGATTAGAGATCATGGATCGACCCTAACTCTGTGCCATGTTAATAGCATGCGTGTGACAAAGAAACGTTTGAACAGAGAAGGGAAGAGGTACCGTGTGCCGGACGTGTGTATACGTGTGTCATAAGCTACGCTGGCGTGCGCAGCGCGATACGCTGCCAACGATGCATACGGGAGGATGAGGGCCCTGTGTGAGAATTCTTCTGAAACGTTAAACAGTGTTTACTCGTCGGGCCATGCACCGCGAATGCCTTTGCCCGCCAGTTTCATCAATGAACTCTTTCTTTTACGCAATGACCCTGTGGAGAAACGCGCGCGTCGCGCACGCAACCCCATGGGAAAACACGATATCGTGCACGATTACCGGAACTGCGCGCAAAAACCACATCGGTGGGATTTCGACCAAAGATTTTGAATTTCCTTGATAAAGCGTCGTGACTTAAATGAGAAATGATGACATTGAAATTTGTGGGTAGTTGTAAATTAGTCTTCTGTAATTACGATTTTAGAGAAATCCTAAAACAGGAAGAAGAAAGGTTCTAGCAACGAAGATAAGAATAGTTTGGAAATTTTGATGTAGTATATATTTTATCAGTAACAGGAAATCTTTATCGATATGTTTTATTGTTACTATAACCAAAATATATTATCCAACTTTTACCTTATACGATAGCCGTGACGCTAAAAACCATTGCAATATGAATGGTTTTCCAGTTGAATCATGAAAAAAAATACTTTATATTAGATTCTTTATATAAATTTCCCTGGCAACTTTACAAACAACTCAGTATTACAACTGGCAGGTAAATTAAATATGAGCTTTACAGTATATAATACTGATCATTCTCCCAATTTTTAGAAACTGTCATGTGAAAGAAAAGAGGTGGATGTAAGAGGAAGAAAGGAGCGCGATAGGAGAGAGACTCAAATTTCGAAGGAGACGAAATCGTTGAGTCCTAGGGGACGGCGTGAATTCCCACACATCAACAAGTCTCAGTAGGTCCGCAGACCTCCCCTCTCCAATGCTATCCCGGAACCCCACTCCAGAACGCACTTCACCCCACTCTAGACACGGTGAGTGCATCGGCATGCGGTCTTCGGAATCCAAAACGTCAAACAGTTACCCTCTATACCCCAAGAAGGACGTCGTCAGTATTGTTGACGATCATCCCCTTCTTTAGGACAGTTCGTCATTTGGAGTTTCACCATCGGAATGTACACACGAAGAACTATGAAGAAATATTGTGAATACTATTCGTTCTTAGTACTCTGAAAATATAGTTTAGTTACATTTACGTGGATGTGATCTTGGATCGTTAAAAAGACGAATTGGAAGACGTTTTCAGACGTGGAGTTTTGTGTGGTTTGTTATAGTGATTTTTACTGTAGTGCATAAATGGTGGATTATTATAATTACAAAATGTCAGGCAGCGAGGAGGAACCTGAATCGCACACGCAACCAGGGATGACCAAGGCGGAATTAAGAAGGGTAAAAATTAGCTTGAATCTCCATTATTTTGGTTGTTGCGGAATTGTGGGCAAAGAATAGAGTAATGGGGGATTTCGTTGGAGGTCTTATTAAAGTTATCTTATTCGTATTTCCGTTATGAAATCATTATTTTTCAATATTTTGAGTGGCAAACAATATTTATGGAGGTTAATTTAATGTTTTCCTCATTTATTATAACTTAAAAGATATTAGATATGTTTTGGCTACTTTGTTCAAACAATAGTTAATATTGATATTAATAAAACAAGTCATATGCCTATATTTTCTTTAAGAAACCACGTGCTATATATTAAAAAAGAAAAATGATTTAAAATTTAAGGAATCAAGAACTTTCTAAAATTACACGCTCGTACTTATTTACCTGTATAATTCTAAATCTTTTCGTCGGATTCCAAGTTAATTTAAATATTTAAATATCATAAAATACAATTTCAATTAAAGAAACACGAATTCTCACGTGACTCGTTCATAAATCAATTACCAAAACCGCAACTATCAAAATTACAACGATCACCGAACGTTTCATAACTGGAATGATTCTCGAACTGCAGAGCAATAAGCCCATCATGGAGAAGCGGAGGCGTGCTCGGATAAATCAGTGTCTGGATGAGCTGAAGAGCTTGATACTCGAGGCGATGAAAAAAGACGTGAGTAGCATTATTTTCCATACGTCGAGCGCCATTTATCGGTCTGTTTGATAATAGTGATTTTCGCGCGATCGATCGAAAAGTCGTACCAGTTACATGTCACGCGAGCAGACAAAGTGTTTTAATCGCTTAATCGAACTAAACCCGAGAGGCGAAATTTCTTGACGAGGAACGAACAATAGACATCAGCAATGGTCGCGCGAAACGATAAGAGAGTGTGCGCCTATACGCGTGATTTGAAGCTAGCGCTCGTGGAATCCACGTTGTCGCCGGCGCCCGAAACGTGCCATGGAAAACGTGACCGGTACACGACTTATCTAGCGACGTGATACGAGTTTACGGGAGATAACACGAAAATATGCGCAGCCTCTCTTGTCGACCGACACCGAACGTAGATTTTTTTTTTCGTTGCCACTTAGACTGATGGGATTTTGCGCGCGTTGATGAATCCTGATGAGAGATCTTTCGATGATATTTAGAATCGTTGATATTCATAGGCTAGACAATCAATATGTATTTGTAGTTCTTTTTTATTCTTTTGGATAACGTATTCGGTTTTTTATTTTGCTATTTTTTCTAGTATTTGGTCTTTTTTCCGATATGTTCCGTTGTAGCGTGACACATTGACAATGTTCAATTGAGAAATATCTTTGGAATGTTGGTTAGATTTTAGATAATATGTTTTAGGAAGATGAATATGGTTGTTTACATTTCTAAATCAATCATTTTGTATGTATGTAATCAGTGTCAGTTCAATAGGATCATTCATGGAAACTGAAGGAAGATTTAGGCCACTGAATAATATTTCAAACAATAGTAAAATAAATAACGATATTCAGAATACATTTTCTATGATAAAATATTTATAATACCTTTATGAATCACGAAAGTGTCTAAGGATAGTTAGTAGAATCATTTATAAGATTCAAACGTTGAAGTTAAATAACTCAATAGCATTACCTGTATTAAGTCACTATCAAGCACGGTAATTACGTATAAAGAAGAGAGAGTACACCTCGCCGATTTTGATGAATTTCGAATATTTTGTTGAGGTTAACATTCTAAACAACTTTTTCCTATACATATAATCATCGGCTTAATTTCCGAGATATTCATAAAAATACTTTTGTTACCTCTTTTTCTTGACGTAGGTTAAGTTGAGCTAGCTTTATGTACGGATATGATGATTTTATAGGCGTATTCGTGCTGTGATGTGTTCATACGTCTTACGTTTCAATTTGTAAACATAGAGAGATAAGAATGGAACTCAACTTAGTTTAGCTATGCGAGAGCCACAAATACAGATATAGTACCATCATGTCCATACATAAATCTAATCTAAACCTGACTCTAAACCTAATTGTAAGATAAAAAGTAGCAAGAGTATTTTTATGAACATATCTCAGAAGCTAAAGTCGAGCGAAGATTATATGTGTAGGAAAAGTTGTTCAGAACCATGCTTCCGATCACATCGGGATTTCAAATCATTGAAATCAGTGAGGTATATTCTTCTATATAATTACTTCAAACAATATAAACAAACAAATTTGTACATCCCTTATAACAATTTTATCCTAGCAATCTTATGATTGTCAATAATTCTAATTCGTTTAATCATTTATCGCAATGTAACTTAAATTTCTTCTAGTTTTTCTTCTTATTATAATTCACACGTATGATCAAGTGACAATTGAAATTGGCCGAAATTATAATCGGCCACATCAGTCATATACGGAGCATCAGTCGGTCGAAATTGTTTCGGTACTGTTAGCCTAAAGGTCAAGAGTCGATCTTTTAATTAAACTGATAGGAAGAGGTCATGCAGCGGATGTTGGCACAGAAGTGTTTGAACAGGCCGTCTCGTTTTTCCCTCGCCGCCTTCCTCTTGCGCGATACGATTTGTTTTTCGACCGTAGAATCGAGACTAAGGTCGGTAAACTAGTGGTAGCAAGAGGTGGACGGGTTTAGTTTTAGTGTTTTAGACGCCTCGGCGTGGGAACGGATGGTGGAAGTCCTCTTTGCCAACGCGTAATCTCCACTGGAGACTCTACAATGGCACTTCAGATCTATTCGGCTGCGTACCTGACCGGTGTCAGCCACATTCCATTTAATTCCCGTCTTAAACAGATTTTAATTACGTTAGTTCCGAATAACTGTGAAACTTCACCAATTGACTAGTATCTTTGTTAAATATTGTGTTGAAACATTGGAACACTGAGTTAATTTCGACAAGAATAGGAAATTATAAGGTTAGCAAACTTGGCTAATAAGCTTCCAAAGATAACAAACCTTCAAATTTTAGTAATGGAACAGTAGAAAATTTAGAAGGAAAATAACGTGGGTTTTGTAATTAAGCATGTTCATTGAGTGTTACTAATTATTCAGAGTGTTAAAAAATATGAAACCTGTCTTAGTTGCAAGGTTAAAAAATTTCAAAGCTAGAAAGTAATTTTTTCAAATTCCAGTAACATTGTTTGGAACATTAAAAAATCTAACAAGAAAACAAGGTTTTCAGAATTTGTTACTTACAGTACGTAATAGATTAAAAAGTTTTGAAGCCAAACTAATTTCTGAGTTTTGTATGTTATATGGCAAATAAAAAATCATGGGATCTAAAAAAATCAATTTTCGATAAAAAGTTCGATTGGAACCGCGAGATTTCCTCTCAACATCCGAGGACATAAGTACGCTCCTCACCGCGTAACTCGATCCAACGAGATTGATTTCTCAGGCAGAGCCATAACGAGAGAGCGAAGCGCTCTCACCGTTCTCTCCTCCGCGTCCAGATGACTTCCGCTACCTGCTCGCTCCAGTGTCCGTCCCGTTCGCCCGTACGAAACGCCCCCCGCGTTCGTGGGAACCTCGAAATAATTATTACGAAGAAAAAAGAATCTCATCTCGGGTTGCAGCCTTCCTTTGTTGACCGTATCATCTTTAAGGATCCAACTTCGCGAAGACGGCACCGATCGCTGTAAAAAAGAAAAATGAGGAAAAAAAGAGGCGATGCTCGACGCCTTTGCTTTTAGTTGCTCTTTTAGCAGGTGTCTCGTTCCTCTGATCTTCGGTGTCGTATTCGCCTACGGGAAAATCGATTTCCGCATCGATTTTCTTCCTCTCAACCTTTGAAAGGTGTTTGCTTGTAGCACGAACCTCATCCGTGAACTTTATTTTACGGAGACGTCAAACATTTTTAATCACTTTTTATGGTTTCTGACAGCCTTCGATAAATATATTAAAATATCAGTTTTGGATTTAGAAAAGTTAGAAGATTTGTCAATTGTAATTTTACATTAAACTGAATCCTGCAATAGCTTTATAATTGTATCCTTTTGTACCGTGTCGATGGCTCTTGAAATTATTGAAGCAATGAAACATTCGAACGGATTGTTCGTGAACATAACGACTGAAATTTTTAGATCCTACTCAAGTACCATAAAGGATATGTAAAGATCGATTAATATTTTTGACATTCCAAGGACAACATTTTTAATGGGGGATAAATATAATAATTTCTGTTTGCAATGGAAAGGCTGAATGGTGCAATTTGCCGTTTCGAATATAGTTTCAAGGCTCATTGTTGTTCGTCAACTTATTCTCATTCGAATGGAAGCTTATTCAAGGGAGAAGGGGGGGGGGGGGAAGAGAGAAAAGCCTCAATGTGTAAGCGATCTCTTCTTCGACTCCCACGCCTATTTTAAAGGTGACCGCTAGTTTACCATAAAAATGCGAGCACTCGGCTGATCCTGGGACGAGGATCGTGCTACAGGAAGGGCACAATAGGATTTCGCTGTTGTGCATCGGTATTGAACGATCGATCCTCTGAAAGGTAGGATTGCCTTGCTGGCAATCTGAGAAATATTGAAAGGGCTAGTGTTGTGCTCCGCGGAGAAAAAACTTTCGAGACGCTTTCGAATTTCTAACGGGTTCCCACGGAAGATTCAGCTTTTTCTACTTGCTACAGTTTTCCTTCGAGAGGAAATGTGTGTCTCGAAAACGTTTCCCTGAACTCGTTTCTAATTTATATGAATATCACTCATCGTAAAGTCGCTTTATTTGGTCGTTTAGAAAACGATTTGTATGCAGTCGATAAGAGCGATGCAGAAGTTACGCGATAGGGAATCGCAATGAAAAAATTCCCGCAAAATGTAACACGCGTGGCCGTAGGTTAACTACAAAATTGCTCTACACTAGCTACCGAAGTTGGTAGTCTATTATTAAGGTAACAGGTCGTATCAAGTCAATTACGTGGGCGTTACCGAGGCGTCACAGATTTCTTGATGGAGCGATCGGTATTAATGCTCGCTTGTGAAGAGTAGCCTGGGGTTACGGCTCCGATTGCTATGCTCTGAACATGTTGGAAACGACCTTTTCATCATACCGGTTAATTTCTTGCTTCCACCGCCTGTCGATAAAACAGATCTCCCCCTCTCGACCGTGTTTTGTTGAGTTCCTGCATTACCGACTGCATTCGAGATTCGTTTTTTACCCTGGCATCGCGTCGTATTGTACGAAAAATCTTATAGAAAGTCGGTGTACGCATATGAAATCGAAATTAATCAATGAAAATATACTCGTAACTCAAAAAATAAATTATTAATGTGCGGTTCTTTTCATTTTACAGCCGACGAGGCATTCTAAACTCGAGAAGGCCGATATCCTCGAGATGACGGTGAAGCATTTACAAGCGGTACAGCGTCAGCAATTGAGCACGGCGGTCGCTACCGATCCGGTGGTGCTAACGAAATTCCGTTCCGGATTTTCTGAATGTGCTACCGAAGTATCGCGGTACGTCAGTCACCTCGAGAACGTGGATCCTGTTGTGAAGCAACGACTGGTATCACATTTGAACAATTGCGTTAGCAATCTCCAGCAAATGGCGCCGTTCTACAGCCACTACGTGCCCTACATGCCGGAACGGCTCTATCCGGAGGTGAAGGTCGGTTTCCAGAGTGATTTCCAGAATGGCGACGAGAATAATAATAGAAGTGCCAGAATACAGATACCAAACGGTGTTCAGTTGATACCTAGCAGACTGCCGACCGGAGAGCTAGCTCTTTTGGTACCACAATCGGCTGCGTTTTCGGCAAACTTTCCATTCTTTCCACCAGCACCCGAGTCTGTCCCTAGAATTGGAGAGTGCTCCGCCTTTACAACTGTTCATAGGTCGCAGAGTCCTCTGTTGAGTCCATCGACATCCATCTCGAGCTATGGTGAAGAGAGTCAACAATCTGAACACTATCCTCAAGCGCACTCTCCTAATGAGCAGCAACGTCGATTCAAGATTCCCGATCAGAGTCCAGCTTCCAAGAGCTTCTCTTCATCGCCAGAGACTCAAAAGCCACAGATTAGTTCAACCAGCGATAGCAAGTCGCCAGTACCAATTTTTGCGGAACCTAAGTCAAACACGAGTTATGCAAACAGAAAAGAATTTGCAGAATCTTCTGAGTCGTTAAGCGATAATGGACTGGCGACGTACAGTTTAAGACAACCCCTTTCAGTAATTACAGACAAAACGTATAATCGTACCGATTCTATGGTGGCAAAGAAAGAGGCAATCAAGAGAAATAGCTCGGATTGTCTTTTAGTAATCTCTGATAAGAAGGCCAGGTACCAAGAACCTATCAGCTCTACCATGAATTCTTCTAACGGTCCCTTAAAATCCGGGGAAGATCAGCCGGTTTCTGTGGAGGATTTGTCAAGTAGAGGGACTTGCTCGGCTAATAGAAATTCTAATCCTAATCCTATCAAATTTGTAGCGGTGGCTGGTCCTTCTGGCGTCAACGGCGATATGTGGAGGCCTTGGTGATTTAAATATAACGTGCCTTCTCATTTTTTTTTAATTTCCCTTCCTTTAAAAAAATTTGTTTCTTCTTGAACCGAAGTGGAGGAATTCCTTTTAAACCGAAGTACATAAAATTGACAATAATTGGCTATTAGAAAGAAGTATTACACAATTGAGATGTCGCCAGGTTGAGATCTCAGTTTAAAACGATTCTCGGCCAATACATTATGATCATTTACATCGAAAATTGTGCCTTAGAAGAAACATAATTGTTTACTTTTCAAACATTTTAGAATATTATTGAAACTAGTTTTACCATGATTATATATAATAAGGATCCCGACTGCTTAGTAATGTAAGTCTTTCTCGAGTAGTTTTAGTAATTTAAAGAAATAGTATTTAAGAAGAGACATGACGACGATTAATTAGCTGTAACGTCGACAGAATAGGAATATGCAACTTGTATCCTCGCTGACAAAGACTTTCAAGCTTTAATATACTATATATTGTACGATAAATTTTTCACTGTGAATAGTCATGTAAATAATCGCCGATCTTATTTAATTTGTATTTTAATCTAAGAACTTAAAAAGAGTGATGTGTTTTTTCAGTCGATGTAATACTATCGTTACGAATTAAGTTAATTATTGCCAGTTTTTGTGATAAAAACAAAGGGGGGAAAATAGAAAGAAAACAGAAATGAAACGAATTTTTTCCGTTGTTCCCCGTATTCCATGATTCACAAGAAGAGTGCGATAAAAATCGTCGCAGAGAAACGAATCTCTGCTTGATATATAAATTTCATTAAGTGTAAAGGAGAGTAAAAAGAAAAGAAGAAAGGAAAAAGAAAGAAAAATCGTCTGAGCTGATCTTTCTATCGATATGTCCCGTAGTCTCGTAAAAGGCTGAGCAATTTCCCTTGTTGAAAAAGCCGTCGGGGCCGCTTTATCCTTTTAAGAAGCGTTAAACGCGCTCCGATTCATAAACTGGAACTTATTCTTTCCTTTTTTGCCGATAAAGGAGTAAAAAGGCGCGGCGAATGAGAATTTCAACCACCTGTTACACCGCAAAACCACCCCCTTTCTCATCGGCTGAATGCTTAAACTGATTTATCGACAGACACCGTGAAATTTGTTGAATGCCCTTAGCGTTTGCTCGACGAACGAGCGCGTCTTCCCTTCTAGTCGCTGAAATTCTTAATTTCGATCGTGATTTATGGGACTAAAGAGGGAGTAGAAGGAGAAACACCGTAATTTTCTCTAGACTCTAGACCTATCGATACGTGGGTGAAGCGTCACGTACGCGTATAGCTCGTCCATTTTGTAAAATTAAGTTGGCTGAGAATTTCTAGAGATGTATCGATTACACGGTTTATGACGGTGGACTAAAGGTGAATGTATTTTGAAAAAATTTCACGCGATTTTTTTATGGCTAGGAGTTCGTTCGCGTTGGTCGAGATGGCACCACGATAGTATTCGGAACAAGGGCTGTACGTTCCTGTCGGTGTTTTTCTAGAAAATTGCTTGACTATTGGTTAGACAATTTTCTAATTTTGCTCGTTGATAGCGGCCATGTTAATTAAAATTTATCTTAATTGATAAGTGATCTTACATTGATGATCTTATATTTCTCTCTGCTATTGCCAATGGATAGAGTAGTAAGGTCTAGCAGCAATAATTTTAAAAGTAAATCTCCGAAGTTAATACATGCATGTAGTATGAAATATTTTAATATTGCCTACTATAACAGTTTTGTTAGAGCGACATATTGTAACCATTGTGACATGAATAATTCTGCTTTTAACGTTTTATAGTATTCAAAATGGACGAATTGCTTAGAAGAATATTTAAATTTATTGTAAATACAAAATCATGTTACGTCACCGAAAATACTTTCTATATCGCTCATTTTTTGTCTGCTCAAAAGCGGAAAAAGAAATGAAAACGAACGTTACTCTGAAAGTGTATATTTCTCCAATAAAATAAACTTACGTATTTTTTTAGTCTTTTCAGAGACGAGTTTGTTAAGGTTTAAAAAAGATAATTACTTTTTAATTTCTGCCTTTATTTGTTTAGAAAATATTTATAAATATTCGACAAGAAATATAACATTGAAAAAATATTTTTTGTTGTCTGAGGAAGATAATATGTATACACGCAGGTAGCTATTATATTTTGCGTCTTTTGGAATTGTGTTTCAATTAAACAAAAACGAAATGTACATGCATAAAATATTTATAATAATACATGATACGTAACTTTTACCAAAACGTGTCAATTAATAACTAGAAATTAGTGTTTTCCCGTTCATTATCCGTATTCTTCCCACAAATTTATATTTCAGTATCCTTCAAGATGTCAAACAGCTCGTCGTTTTCTCTACAAAACATCCTAATAGTGATTAATACCAATACCGAAATATACTAAAATACACTAAAATAAATTATCATGACAACTATATCTTCCTGTTCATCTCATAAAACCTCGATACTCGATCACAGAAATTTCCATCTATGGTAGAACTCCATATATCTAAACTCCAATTATTGGAACGAAATTTTATTTAACAAAACTCCTACCGATTGAATATCCTTATCTATATAATATATGAACTTCTATTATTCCGAAGAAAAGTGACGGAAGTACGAAGAATTATTAAATTTTCACCTTACGTTTGAATTGTTTGTTAAACGAGCAAGAATGTAAAACGAGGACGAGAGCATTTGCTCGCGTTCGTTTAATATAAACAATTATCGAGCAATCTGTTCGTAAACTTATTTGCGCCGAAAGAGTTTCTTCGCGATGAATGCGAGCGAACGATCGGCAACCGACGAAATAATGCTCGTTCATATCTTCATTTTACTAAAGAGATGGGAGAACAAGTATTCGTTTGCTTGGTCTAAACGCATTTTTTTTAAAGAATCGAACAAATATTTTTGGAGCATAACAACGTTTCGATATTCGATAAAGACGGAAACAAGATAGTGTGGAAAATTCATTTTTCGTTATGTATCAAAATTAAACTTATATTGTTTCAAATATTTCACGAAAAACTTACTTTCCTCTACCAAATTTTTACTAGATGTTTATATGTTGGGTTGTCCGAAAAGTTTCTTTCGTATCATAAGGTGATAATAGATGAGCAACAATTTTTGTTTTATATTATTTTATTGAATTAGGTATGATCCATTTCGTTCTATTTTTATTATTATGTTCGTGCATAATTCAATAAATTAGTATAAAACAAAAAACATCGTGCGTTTATTACTTTCTTATGAAACGAAAGAAACTTTTCGGACAACCTAATATGATCAATAGAGATAAAATGAATCCAACTATCTTCATACACGTGAAAATAATCTTTATTACAAAAAATAGCCGAGAAATTGCACATCACTAGTTTCTTTCTGTCATTCGAACCGAACCAAACACTTACAAGAACGTTGCATAACATAATTCGCTCACTGTTTCCGCGGTTATCGAACCAGCATTCTCAGAGTATTTTTAAATTATTTGGATATTCGATTTTCGAATCGGTGAATAATCGCCAAAACAGTGATTGAATACTCATTTACACTTTCGTTCTACTAAATCTTACTAAAATGGGAGACAATCGATCATGTTCTTGTTTCTTTCAATCGCACCATTATATTGCACTCGAACATCGAAGTAGAATAAGTACGACACCAATCGACACGAGAAACGGCGAGCAGCAGTTTTTCCTTGCGCGGCGGATTCCGTCTTGTCTGTGGCGCGAGGCATCGAAGTCGCCGATTCGTCGGGCGTACGGCTCGAGATTAATATCGCGGGTTCCGCAAGAGGCAGACCCCCTTCTCGATATTCACGCTTTAGAATTACGTAGCATCCGAGAGATACAGATACCCCGTGGTAGGAATAACCATCTCGTCGAAGAAGACAGACGAAGACAGGGACGCGAAGAAAGAGAGAGAGGAGAACATCTATACGCTATATCACGTGTATAAATAATTACTTCGGTGCGCAGCAATTACTATAAGTTATGGCCTAGCCGGCACAATTTGCAATGTCAAGACATAAACACTGCTACCGCTTACATTTGAATACATTAAACGGCGGAACGGGAGGAGCTGATTGGCCGACGAGGGAGTGGTGTACATCGGGTCCTGGTATCTGTACGTGAGCTACGATCTGGTTGACGATTTTTATTACGGAAACGATCATCCCGCTTGGTTACGGGCAACGATGCCTTTTCTCTGCTCCACTTGTGCTAGCCCTCCCTCCTCTGCCATTTTACTATTGCGCGCACGTTGATGGATGCCCATTCCCATTCCGTCCTCGATCGGTCGCTAAACTGGATTTGCGATTTCCGATCGATCTTTGAAGTATTTACGACGCTACCGATCGCGATAATCTCCCCGGCCAATTGTTTTATGACAATCGAAGAAGAGCCTCGACGACGAGATGGATCGTTCGAACCGCGATTGGATCGAAGTTGCAGTTTCTGCCTGATTTGGACTTTCTCTGCCTTCGTTGGTTATCTGCGCATTGGGAGGCGGGGCGACGTCTTTGGATGAAGAACGCCAGATCCTGGGTATATACGTTTACAGAGACGAGTTTGACGTGGATTTCTCCAATTAGGACACGAGTTACAAGATTTTTATGGCGAATCAGAATGAATAATTGGTAAGAACAAGAGAAATGTATGGTACTGGAAAAGCTTTGGGAAGATTGACTTCTAAATTTGATCCTAGTTTAAGAGACGGAGAGTTGATTTATTCCGCCGGTTGTCAATCCTGCAATCTACAACTTATCGATTTGAAGAAACGAAGTTGAGAGTGTACAGAAAGTACAAAGTACCTGCGATATATTCTTCAGGATAGAAGTCGATTTTTCATGCTTGATCGTCGATAGAATGATAAGCCTGTTTTAAGAAAGCAATTATTCTTTGAGAGTAATTTAATTTCTGAAGAACAGAAAATACTCTTCTGTGGTATTGCAAGAAGAAGAGAAAGAAAGGAGTCTCTCTTTCAGAATCTCATCAATAAATAAATGATCTGCCGAGGTTCAATTTGCAAAGAATAAATCTACTGCTAAACTAGGTACGACGAAGAAAGACGCCCATCAGATCGTACAAAAATTTCTCCACTTCTTCAACTTCAAAATTCTCCAATGCCAAATTGCCTGTTTCAATCAACCAGGGAGATTCCAAGAAACGCTATAGTACATTTTCACGATAGTTTTCACCCGCGAAAAATACTTTAACCAAACCCACGATGAACGATCTCTCCACGAGCGGAGTAGATCGAGGAAAATCACCGGTGAAAATCGTCGGTGCAAGTTGTTTCCGTTACACAGTGGTCAACCGAGGGCGAGTGTCTCGGCCCAGCGGATATAGCAATCGTGGAGTGTTTTTCGCGTTGTTATATTTCGGCCCGACTGTAACGGTGTCCCGATGATCGGGATGCACGACAGAGAAACGCGCGTCCGATCCAGAGACGAAGAGAGGGGCAGAGAAGAGCGGTTTAGTCCGCGCGTATGTGCGGCTGCCAGGCCATTTGCCTCTGCGGTCTCTTGATTCCTAGCGACTAAATTTTCATCTGTACTCATTCAAGTTTTAATGTGTTTTTGCGGCATCAGTCATTCAAACTTAATCAACAACCAGTTACGCGCCGAGTCCGCGCGAGGCCGAGCCGCGAGCGCGCGCGACGTATAACGGCTGGTTCAACC